GCTCACCACAAAAAATTTGAAGAAAACACTGTCTGCACAACTCAAGTGGTTAATGGCGCTCAAATTACATATATATAAATGATTTCAGGATAAGCCGTATTGAGGCATATTAAAATTATTTTGGTATTTTTTAATAAGCATATGTATTTTTTGAAATTGTATACACACCATATACATAACATACCATACATTTTGATAGAATTTTAATATTAATATTTATTATTTTAAAAACACTGAAACAAATATTGTCTAGATAAAAGTATATTAGTATTTTACAGTTTTTAAAAGGTTAAAAATAATTTTTTCAGGTAAAAATATTAATATTTTACATTTTCGAAAGCTTTTAATAAAAAATTAAATATTTTTTTGGTAAAAATTCTTAATAAATAAAAAAATATTTTTATTTGTATTAAACTTGTTGAATTCATGCTGAACATTCATTATTTCCTTTGAATCATATTAATAAATTTTCAAAATTTTATCATTTTTCAAAATTTTTACTTTAAGCACAAATATGATATAGTTTTACTAGAAAGTACTGCCCTTCGTTGTTTTAATTTTTATGTATTAAAAATGTTTCCAAAAATGGCTGAAAGTTATCCAACGACTCTCCGGAGTTATGCTACACTCAGCTGGAGAACAAAATATGCACAGATGCTCATTTAAGCTCCACTCTCGACAGTTTCAGTATGTAAACATACTCGTACATACATACACATATATTTTCGCATGTGTGTGAAGTTTTGCATTAGATATGCGAAATTAAAATCTTAAATAAATAAGAAATTTTAGTTATTTATTTAATCGAACCGCTGACTGGCATCGTTAATCAAAGTTAAAACTAAAACAACAACAACATGGGAATTAGAAATTAAACATTCTGCCAAAAAAAATCTAATTAAAATGAAATCCTCTTAAAGTCCCACAAAATCCTCTGCCAATTCACAGAAGTATATATACATTTATTCTATGTGCATACATAACTACATATATTACATATTCATATGTATATGTGTAAATATACGTTATTCGTATTGCGTATTCACGCCGCATTAGCAACGAGTACAGCTAATTTGTTATGTGCTATTAACTATTCCAATTTATTTACTTTTTTCCCTCCATTGATTTTTATTGTTGTTAATGTTTTATTGCTATTTTTTGTTAAAAATACACATACACAGACATATATATATGTACATATATGTATGTGTAGGTACTTCTGTGTGGGTTCCATGCCAAACGGTAGCCAAATACATTTTGAATGTAGCAATAAATTTTCTTTGAAATCAGCCGCAGCAACGGCTGAAAAATAACAGTAGCAACAACAAGACCAGTAACTAAATAACAAGAAAGCACTTGAGAAGTAAACACAAAAAAAAAAACAAAATCAAGCAACAGAAAAACAAATCAGTAACAACCCGCTAATGGCTGGCAACAACGGGCTGCTAACCTAACATTCTTAGATTGTGCATAGGTGAATACGTTAACTTAATTAAGCCGGTTCCAGCGTCAGGCCCGATTGATGATCATGCTGTTGCTGTGATGCGACCCAGAACAATTTATAGCTATGCATATAAATATGTATGTATGCGTATATGTTTGTATGTGCGTAGAAATGTATATTTGGTGGGAACATGCATGCGCCTATGTATGTATGTGTGTGTGTGTTAACCCATTAATAAATCAGCAGTGACTATAATGAAACCACCGAAATGATTGCGACTTTTAATGATCGGCTACCAGGTTTTGGCAAGCATTTTTATTATTTAGCTTTTAAATATTTTTTGTTGTTATATTGTGCTTTGGTAGATTGAACGACTGACAGCTTTGCGTGGGTGGCATTTTAAGGGCATAAAACTTACGTAAATTATCCGCAAAATAGAACGAGTTTATAACAACATTTCATTATTACTCTTACATCATACACATATATATGTATACATATAAGAAAATTATGTCACATTCACATTTATTTCACTACTTGTTTCTCTTATATGTCTGTCTGTCCGTCAGTTAATATATCAATGGGAAATTATGCGCACATCCTCTTCTTCCCAAGAAACTGTTAATTAGTCGGAAACGCCGATATTGGATCATTATAGCATATAGCTGCCATACAAACTGATCGATCAAAACCAAGTCTTTCTATGAAAAACTGTTTTAATTGACAAGGTATCTTCACAAAATTTGGCACAGATAATTGTCCAAGCCAATGCTAAAATTTCCAAATAAATTGTTCAAATCAAAGCATTGGATCATATAGCTGTCATACAAACAGACCGATAAATATCAATAAAAACAAATAATTTTATTTTTTTTTAATTTTTAAGCTATATGAAATTTAGCCGTAAAGGGTATCATAACTTCGATAGAGCTAAAGTTAACGTTTTTCCTGTTTTTTTTAATTTTTATTTTTTTATTATTATCGATAAGTTACCACTGCAGCTTTTCAACACTCATTCGCTGTACTCTCTAAAGCAAAAAAAAAACCCAAACTCGCTATATCCATCGCACTAATGAAATGTCAAAATATAATTTTGTCAAATATACACACTTTGTAATTCTTAGCTTGGCATAAATTTGAAGTCGTTCATTAATCAAAGCTCATTTAAGGCTTTCTTCATCGCTGTCGGCGGCACAAGAGGAAATAGTGAAATAAAATGTGAAAACTTGTAGTTATAATTAGTCTGTACAAACACACATCCACATACAAATAAACTTAAGTTAATATGTATATACATATACATTTTTCGACATACCTACATATATACTATCAAAGAGGCGGTACGCTTTAATGAACTTGACATACGAGAATTAAAGTTATGAATTATTTGTTTATGCGAGGATTTGGGCGCTAATAACAAAAAATTAACGAGATACATATATACATTTATATGTATTTATATAACATATGTATCTAATTTTATGTGGAACTAGTTCTCGCTTTCGCTATGTACAGATATATTTTCAGCTGTGGATAAACTAAATATATTTTATAAAAGTTTTTGATTATGAAAGCTATTCTTTAATCAAATCTTGATTGGGCTAAAAAAACCGTCAAACAGTTCTATCAGGAACTTCAATTTCGAAAGATTTTTACTTTTTTAACAAGAGAAAAAAATTTTCGCTGAGCTTTCTCGATATTTTTTATAAAAACTAATATTAAAATTTTATTAATTTAGTTTCCAAGTTAATTGGCGATTTTTTTCGAGTTTTTCTCTGCTACAACGACAATACTTTTAACTGCTTTTTCTTGTATTCTATGTCTTCGAAATTTAGTTTTATTTTCTACTTGGCTTAATCTGTTATTGTTTGAGTAAAAAAAATATGTACCTAGATTCGACATTTATTGAAAGATAAGCATCATTCTAAAAGATTGCCTAAACATCTGAAAATATTTTCACTACATTTTCTGAATTTCGAACTCTTCATAATATGTATTGTATAAGCTGCTTGTTGAGTAGTTATAGCCATAATAGTGTCGATCGAAGTGCAAACTTTTTCACCAACTTTTTGCCACGAAGTCGCCATTTCGTCAAAAATACAAATTTGGACTGGTTCTTTGGTCATTAGCTGTATTCATCTGTTGTTTGGATTTGCACAAATTTTAAACAGAAAACTCTTTTTCACCGCCTTCACACTTTTTTCGGAGGTTCGTCGGGAGAACGGTTAGGGGTTCAAGGAAATTTAAAATTTTTCAAAATGAATCGCCCATTATTGAAGTACATTAAATTCTGTACGTGTTTATTATATTTATTTATTTATTGTCCAAAATGTCGGTTAAAAAAAATTGCTACCAACGCGTTCATCTTGCTTTGCAAATGGATATAACCCCTTAAAGCAATGGAAAATATTTTTTATGGTGAATAAAAGTTATTAATGAAGTAACAATACAATAACATTCATTTCAATATCAGCACTAAATGACATTTTTGTGAGCTTTAAAGCAATAACTCTGAACCATATTATTTAGCACTAATATAAGCTGTCTAGATGCGTTCTAACGCATGCGCAGTAGTGTTATATTGTTATTTCTTAGTGAAGAAATTCTTCTTTTCGCGTTAAAAGTTGCTGCAAACATTTATTTTTGTCTTCTATAAATTACTATAGTCGATTTTAAACCTTATGTTTTAAAAATACAAGAAAAGAAGAAATTTGTGTTTTCATTTGTCATTTGCACCATTCACAATAGTAAAACTGATCTAAAATATGCAAAACAAGACTTACTTGGTAGCATTGAAGTTAGCGGCTATACCACTTTAATGAGCTATCCGCTTACTCTCTTATACGAATTCAACTTGACAACTCTGTTGCTACTTTTACATGTAAATTTTTTGAAAAGAGAGCAGAGAAATTGCGAATCGAAGAGAGCTAACATATAATAACTTCCACTTGTGGTTGAGCTTTAATAAAATCGACGCAATTATTTTACGCAAATTTAAGAATCACCCTTATACATATATATGTACATATGCATACACCAAGGCTCGTTTTCGCCATTGCGAATTTACTGCTATGCAGTAGCATTACATAAACAAGTGTAATTAAAAGTGATTTGGCCAATTCGGCTGCGCTTAAGACACCTGTGAGTTTAGTAAACTCCATCTTTTGCATAAACCAAGCAAATCACTTTAAAAACTGTAATTTACTGCTCAACAACAAATTGATAAATTGGCATTTAGACATTGCGACACGTCAGTTACGCTCAAAACAAATTATGCAAAATAAAAGGTGCATATAAAATTTTAATTAATTTATACATACACAATATGCAGACATACATATATAAAGCTACTATATCACACGTTCTCCGGTTTTAACAAGCTAAAGGCAATTATTTTTGTTTAACCATTTACAGAATATGAATATGGCTTGTTCACACTTTGTTTTTAAGAGGTTAGAGATTATAAACTAATTAAAAGTATATATGCAATTATATAGACACACATACATATGTACAAAGAAAAAGCATAAGATTAATTTAAATTTTTTTCTTACAGATAAATCACATTTGGACATATTTTCGAACCGCCCACAACCGAAGAAGAAACGCAAATCGCGCACTGCTTTCACGAATCACCAAATATTCGAGTTGGAGAAACGTTTCCTATATCAAAAGTACCTGTCACCAGCCGATCGTGATGAAATTGCCGCCGCGTTGGGTCTCTCAAACGCGCAAGTGATCACTTGGTTCCAGAATCGACGCGCAAAGCAAAAGCGTGATATTGAAGAGTTGAAAAAGGATTTCGATAGCGTCAAAGTATTCTCAGCGCACAAGTCCTTTCTGGAGAATGTCAACGATCTCAGCATATTGAAGAAGAAACCCATGCACGAGGCGGACGCAATGGTGGGTCTGGCCGCAGCCGCTGCAGCCGGTATGGTGCCGGTTTCCTCAGCCGCCGCGGCTGCTGCTGCCGCACAAGCTGCGCTAAATTCACAAAAATGAAGTAATCGGCGCATTGTTGCGCCATAAATACATTTTTTATACAAACAACTGCGAGAGAGGAGGAGAACAGCAAGTAAAAACAAAAATGGAGAATCGTCAAATGTTATGTGGATGCTACTAAGTGGAGCGGCGAGTGGGGTAATGCATGCAACAGGAGAAATAGTGAAATTATTGAAATCGTTTCTGGTTACAAATACAAGCTGCGGAGCCACTTAATGGCCGCTGGCAGGCAATGGACGCCGCAGTTAGGAGTTTACAACCACCAGCCCACCAAAGTAGCACCGTTTGGCTGCGTCCAATTAGGAAGCCGTTGCATAGCATTCAAAACTTTATCAGTCCTTGCTTTTTGTTCACCACATCACCACATGGCGGCATTTAAATCACACAATCTAACGACTTCTACATACAAAACGTTTAACATTGCGCCTTATAAGCACCGAAGTTCTCGAAAGCGGCTCGTTCATGGCGCACGCGACCGAACGTCGCCTATGATCGTCGTCCATAGCGCAAACATATGGTACATATGAACGAGCATGTATGAGCATATACATATATACATCGAGAGCCGTCAAGGGTTCAATGCTGAACCGGGCTTGAATGTTGGCAACAAGCTGAAGTGAAATTATTGAAAAAAGAAAAATCTCAAACGCAATTTTAAATAGATAAAGCTTTTAAGCAAAAACTTTTATGGCAAATTAAGTATGGCGAAAAAATGAAATATTGAAAAAAAGAAAGATTTTAATAAAATTGAGATTTTAAAAACACTAAAAATTTGCAACAAAAATTTTATTTAGAAATTTAATTTTTATTTCGCAAAAATTGTTGCAATAAAAAATGTGATAAATGTTATTGCAGTTCATACAGATAAAGTTCTTAGTCTTGCACCTCTTCTATTATTAGTTACCTTTAATCGATATACATACATATACACAGACTTTTTATAGGTCAAGGCGTCAGAACTTCGAATTATGGTTGTAGGAAAACTTATAACTAGATTAAATACTTTTTCGAATAGTAATATTCACCTCGGCCGGCACAACTAATACCAGGAGAATCACTTTCTCGATAATATACGTCTAAATGACAAAATGAGATTAATTGGAATGATATGCCGAGGTTATAATTCGACCTATGTTTCAAAAATCGGTTACAAATTTACAGAAAGCATGTAAATATCTGTATTTTTAGCTTTGTATAACAGAGTTGTTCTCTTCTGAAATGATCCTATTCAAAATTACGCCTATTTCTTGTCTTGCTGTGTAAAGCTTCTTTCATGATCTTGGTCTTGTGTGTGTCAAGCCTGCTTTGATACTAAGCAGCTCAAAATTATGAACACCTACAGAGTGTCAGACTACTCTCTCCTCCTCCTCTCGTCTCTCTTCTTTTATATCATATTACCAGCTACAAATACCATTTTCTAATAAAGGCTCTCTAAAAACAAAGTAAAGTAAAGTTTTCAGGACAGCCGATTTTGGTTGTGTAGAATGCTCGTCACTATAGTAACGCTCCCTGAAATTGGTTGGAGAATAATTGTTTATATCACACCAATAACAACATATTATATGCACCAAACAGTTCCACCTTGAGGGCATATTAGACCTTAGGTCGCGGTGCATACCTCATTTTTAAATTCAATAAGTTCCACCTAAGGTGGGATATATAATTCCGACTAATAACCTACATACGGCCAGATGATCTGAATATGAAATATGTGAAAGAGGAACTTGAATTCGAGCTAAAAATCATGGATTCGGTCCATTTAAACTGTGCTGATAAAACGAATCGATTAATACTTGTTTCTTAGATTGATGCAATCTTTTTTTGTCTTCTTGTGAAGTTTGATTTACATTTATCAATTAGTGTTGAAATTGAGAAAATGGTGCAGATGGGAAGTCTACCTTATCACGAACACAAGTTTTTGAGTGGTACAGGGCATTCGGTGAAGGTCTTGAAGTCATCGAAAACTTGCCTCCTGCGAGTCGTCCATCCACATCTGTTAAGACACAGGCATCGAAAAAGTTAAAAAAAGAAGCAAAGGATATCAACATCTTTTATGGATCGACTCCACACATTTTGGTTAGTGTTTTGGGAACGAAGCATGCCAGTGGCTGCTACCTAAATATTTTAAAAAACGAGGTCGAGTAGAGGTCGCAAAAGAGACCGTATGAATACGGCACCAACACTGTACAAAAGTCTAGCGAATGGCGCTTCAAAATTGGCTGAGTAGCCCGTTTTGAAGGCAATAATACAAATTTGTATCAAAATACGTGAATATGTATTTTTAACTCAGTCTGGTCCAATTTCGATCAGATGGTAATGAATCTGGTTTCTTCATACATAGCTGTACATAAATATTAAGGCTACTGATATACATATCTATATGTATGTGCGTGATAATTTAGTTTAATTTGTCTCTTGCTGATTATATTAGTGAATTAAAAACCGGTAGCAATAAATTCAAGCATGCTTAGATTAGCGTCTCCTCGCCACATGTCCGCATTTAATAAATTTACAAAATTAGCAGCCGTAGAGATGAACGAAACGAAGCCAATCGTGCTTTTTCTAAACATAAAAATACATTTTTGTTGTTGTTATGCGATAATTTTGCATCATTTAGCCACTTCTGTTTCGTTGTATTAACATATTGCCTATCAAGCATTCCACCACTCGCTCGCAATGGTTGCTTTGCGCTTGTGCTTTTATTACTGATTATTTACAGCTTCTATTCACAAATTTGAGTTAATTAATTATTAATTTAAACATTTTGGTCACTTATATTCACGACAACACAACAGCGAATAATTGAAAAGCTAAAAGAGTTGTGGCTAAATATGAACTTCGCTTAAAATAGGCAAAAATATGCAAACAATAGCAACAACAAAAAACGAAAAACAGCAAAATTTATGTTTTTTGCACAAAAACAGCAGAAAATATAAAAATTTGCTGGAATGCCACTAAATTATAATCACCTTGTCCTATCCATTAGCCGAGCGAAGTGTTTAAATTTGAGCAAAAACTCCGTAATTAGATTGAAGATTTAATGGACTGCGCTCGCACAGTTTCCGCTCGTCGCCAGCAAGCGCAAGCAGCGCGATCAATGCAAGCTCTCGCCCATTTTTATAGCACTAAGCCGGTGAAATCTTTTTATCCACAACTTAAACGTTTACATTTGCATGTATGTCAGTATATGTGTATATATGTATATGCAAATAAATTCATTCATATATTTTTTAGGTATGTATGTTTGTGTGTATGTATGTGTCTGTCCTGATTTGCATTACTAAATTCGGTAAAACTCCAATTAATATATAATAATTTAATGCAATGAATTGAACAAGTAGCTCAATCGATCAACTCTACTACTTGATTTCACTACGCACTACCCCGCGCCTTGCCACTTCGATTTTGCCATTAACGTTTTGCATTGATCATCTTATCGATAATTTCCCCCTGCAGGCAGAGATCAAGCAGCAATTAGATGACAGCCACCGTGGCGAGGGTTTCTTGGAGTATACATATGTACATATATTATAGGTATACATGTGTAAATACCTCGTAGGAAAATTAAGTATGTTGACGATATGCAAATCGATGACACAATACTAAAATATGAGTGATATAAATCGTAATTTAGGAAGGAAGGAGATTGATCAAAAGTTAGAGAGACCAGTTGGGGACTTGTTATTGAGCAGTTGGAGACTAGTTGTGAACTAGTTAAAGGCTAGTTGCGTATAGACGCATCAAGATCATTTTAACATACTATATCTTTATATAAAAGTAAAAATGCTGGAGCAAAGCTAAGTATTATATGTTATATAATGAAAAATTTCCTTGCACAAGATATGAGTAATATAAACATATGTAACCGGATAGGAGCATGTTAGAGACGAGTTGGGTAGCTAGTTGGAAACTAGAGTTGGGAACTAGGGTTTTATTAGTTGGGAACTAGTCGATAACTAGTTTGAGACTAGTTGGATTTTAGTTAAGGATTATTTGTGTACTAATTCATCTATTTAAAACTATTTAATTTAAACCAATAGCTGTTTATTTAAGTCACATATTCACTCTCTAGGCTTCAATCAATTAATTATATTAATACAAAGAATACGAAAACTGAAAAAAAGAATATGGTGGAAGACGATGAGGAAATAAAATCACAAACAAGCAAACAATATCAGAAATATAGTACTTTGCAAACACAAAGAAATATCTTAAAACACTTAGGTCTGTAAAAAAAATTCGCTATACTACCACATATTTTTCCTACAGGCTGCTTTCAAACCTGTGCGTAAAAGCCTTTGGCAGAAAAACGAGACCAACGCTGCAGCTAACAAAATTGTGTGGTTTCCAACAGCTACTGTATGTGCAGAGGCTGATCGATGGTGCCAAGCGATAGATCTGCATCTGTGTGTATATGCTCCTATGTATGTATGTACATATGTATGAATAATCAACGCTTGACCCGCAAGCATTTGTTGCGGTTCACTTCAAAAGCGCTGACCGCCGCCCGAGGTGCATAAGTAGTTTTGGCGCTGCGTACTGGCAATTATGGACGTTACGTTTAAGTTCGGGCAGCTAAACGCTCGTATGCACACACACACACACACACACATACACACTTATGGTTAATGTAGTACACAGCTACATATGTATGGCCATGTTGATCGTTAACTATCAGGCGTTGAGCGGCGATCGATTTATTTGTTGTGTTTTTATTATTGTTGTTGTTTTTTTTTTCTTTCTCATTTCTTGCTGCTTTCAACTGTAGCTTCAGTGTTGTTGCGCTGTTGTGCCACTTGCTATTGCATTAGCCTCTTAACCGCTATACTACACCGGCAGCAATGCTCATTTAAATAATCAAGCCATCAATTCAGCGGCTAATGATGCCCGAAATACACGCGTGCGCTACGCGCTGATTTTGTAGCGATCGCCAACGATTGCTACTGATCGCCGACGATCAACTATCGCCGCGTTGGTCGGTGGCGACCATTGATCAGCTAACAGCTAACAGCTACCAGCTATTACTTAGTTGTTGTACGCTATTGTCGGTCCGCTTTGTTTGCATTTTAATAGAATCCATAAAGAGCCACTCTAAGCGAGCTGCATGTGCGCGCGCTGTTAAGCCACTAATATAATTGAGTTGAATTTTTATTAGTACTTATTCTAATGGCTTATCTCCTCAACCCTTTTCTTTCTCTTCTCACCACTTCAGCATACCAAACTTTGGAATTTTAATTTAAATGCGCTCATTGACAAAATGCAATCAGGCAATTTGAAATTGAATTTACGCTACTGATAATGGAGAAAGGTTGAAGATAATCAGCCGCGACTATGGCATTAGCTATCTTCAATATAATTAGTAATACTGCAGGAAAAAGAAATCAATAAACATCGTTGGGCAGCGTGCGCAGCCGCAAAGCGCTTTGATCGTTCGACTGCGAGGCATGGTGGTCGTCCCCTAAATGCTACCGGTAAACGCTGCGTACGCTTGGAGCCACGCGTATGTGCGTGTGTGTTTTCATTTTATTTCACGATTTTATTTTTGTTGCTACAAGCAATTAAAATCGGCTTAAAGCGTCATTGCTGACGCTGTGGCTGCCTCTGCTGCTGCTGCTGCTGCTGCCAGTGGCCAACTTCGGTTCTTCATACAACGCCGCGCTATTAATTCTAAAACGCATGTCTACACAGTTATATTTTCTAAACACAAATAGGTATGTGTTTGTATGTATGTTTACTCGTATATGCACGGCTTTGAGTGCATAAAACATCTTAGACTGAA